ATCACCTGACAATTTAAAAAAAAAAAATTAAATGCTATAAATTATTTAAATATATAGCCTACCAACCCTATAAACAAGTTTTTAAAAACCTACTGTATATTTAGCAATTTGAGGCAAGACCTAGATAATATAAGGTTTCCTCAAAATCATACCATTTAAATGCAGTCAAATCTTTGTTCAAATATTAAGTCCTTATTAAAAAATGATACTGAAATTCCAGAAAAACTGATACCAATGGATTTTCTTTTAGGGAACTGGCAAACATAGTGTAAAAGTTTAATAGAAAGCCATTAGGCAGATATAACTATTGGTTCCATTTCCACACACCAGCTGATGCACAGAAGGAATAAACAATGCATATAAATCAAATTTCTCTCAAGGAAAGAGAACAAATTTCTCTCTAAGCCAAGAACAGAATGTTGGAACTTCTGATTTCCAGGGCATGCTAGGATTGTATTGCCTCTTTAATCACAAGTACTATTCCATGTTTCCTCTTAAAATACATGTAATATAAGCAGAACCCGCAATCTTTCTTAGAATTCTTAGAACATCTTGCAAGATAATATTATGAAAAATAGAAATATTTCAGGTATTTTGATTAAATGAGAAACTAACAAAAACCAGAGTTTTCCATTCCTTATCGAGGTGAATGTGTTTGGATAAGCGAGCAAGAATGGCATCACCTGAATGCAAGGACTGTCAGTACTTGCACACCAAACTCTTCTGCTTTTTCTCTTTTTTAGCTACATGACATTGCTGGTCTTAAATATATGTGTGCAGAACCCTTGTATTTTGGGCAGGATGGAGGCATTTGTGTCTGGGTGATCTTTATCACTTCTCATGCAATTTCCAAAATCTGGAAGACCAAATCTTCATTGCATTTTTCCTACACTTCATTTCCTTTTTGCTGCATATGATATGAAGTCTGTTTCTCTTAGTCATGTCATTGTTATTATACTCTTTCTGCAAGATTTAGTCCTGTTATTCCCACATCAAATTAAAAACAGTTGTTGAAAGTTCAGGAAGATTCTGTAGTTCCATTTCAAGCATCTAGATATTGATTCACTATTTCCATAAGGAAGACTGTGGCTTTGTAGTTTTCTTCAGTGAAGCTTTTTGTTTTGTTTTTAGTTTTATGACTTAAAAGAGATGAGCAATACAAATCAGGCCCCTCTTTTAAAATAATTACAGTCAAATGATAGCTAAATCCTATGCAGTTTGGACATATGGAGGAGGAGAAAGTAGCAGATGAGCTAGAGTAGAAAGCACATCACTGAAGGCTTCAGGAAACTGAAAATTTGTTTTATTTGCCTGGTGTGTTCTTCTTCTCATCTAAACCATTATCTCCAATTTAATCAATGCTCTACCTCTATGGTGAATTACCATTATTCACTATGGTATACTAAGTATTTCCCTAAACAACTCAGGCACAATAACAAGCAGGTCTGGCAGAATAGTGAAGATAGATATGAAAAGTACTGCTCAAACATTTATGAACTTATAAATGCCAGCCATTCAGTTTTCATATAGAGTTTTCCCTTGTGCATTTGTCTGGTCTCCAAGGATTTGCCAAGATATTAAAAGAGAATAATCCTTTCCACTCTTAAATATCATAGAGACCCCAACCAGACTGAAGCTTCATTTAGTGTCAGACATTTGCAAAGTGAAAATAGACCCTGACTGAAGGAAGCTACACAGTCAGGGAGGCTGTTTGCAATGACCAGGTGCAGTAACAGCTACTGCTGGGGGCAAGAAAGCAAAACATACATACATCTAGTAACAAATTCTGAAAGGAACTTACAAATGTCAAAAAAAACTCCATAAAAACTGCCTAGAAGCTGTTAAAAAATCTGTGATAGAAGGCTCCCCTAAACCTTGTATGACTCTATAAAGCTAAGAAGGCTACACAAAGAAGAAGTCAGAATTTAGAAATCTTGTTCAAGCGAAATAAACAGGAGAGGACAATAAAAGAAATACATTATTAAACATAAACAGTAATGTAAGATGGATCTTGACAGTATAAAAAGTTGTAGATATATCTCTTATCAATAAAGGATTTAGAGAAACTAATTGACAGCAGGTTCATAAACACATGCTACAGGGAGTAGACAAGGGCAGATCTTCTAACACCCCAAAGCCAGTGCTGACAGATGCTGGGGGAAGTGAGGCAGGCTCACACACTCTGCCCTGAGAGTGTTTGCTATTGCCATTGTCACACAAAAGACTGAGACTGATGAACCATTGAGCATTTCTTATGTCCTTGTAATTCATTAGATGGGAGGAGTCACACTATTATGCCAGAACCAGAGTGCCATCCACCAGGTCACAGTGACTCCTGGAGTTAGCCACTGCCCTTAATTTCTTCGTGATGTACCTTCATATGTAAAAAATGTGGGAATTGGTACATCTGTGGGAATCCAAGTCAACATACCTATGCCTTGAATGGAAGGAATGCTGAGCATTCTGAAATGTCCATTCATTATAGGTAGTGATGAACATGATAAGTCACTCTGCAGACACACAATTGGAGATATCAAATTTTAAGTATATAAACTAGATGTTAGCCCCATGGAAAGCCTCAAACACTTGCACCATTGGTACCTCCAGCTTACCAGGTCAGGTTTAGCAACTTTAGCCAGAAAGGTATCAAGAAATAAAACGTTGCAGGTCACTCCATCTTTAAATTGAGGAACAAACAATTTTGGTGCCAAACAGAAAGATTTCTTTCAAAGCAGTTTTTTTCTAAAGTGTGCTATAAATAGGCTAATTATTACTGAAGTCTACTGACCTATCTAAGAAAATCATTAGCAGTCAGATGGTTGACTAATGAAGTATTTATTTGTGTGCAATAACAGACAGGACTGGCTGGTCAAAAGGGCTGGATTGACACGATTTAGTAGAATTAGGCTCAACTGCAAAGCATCCAATGATCAGAGATGGGGAAAAACTGTAAATGAAGACAACTGAGAATGTAGCTTAAATTACATGATCAACCAAAACAGACAATATTCCTTTCTGAGTTTAAGATTAAGGTGCACTTTTTTTCAGAGTGAACATATACATACACTCTCACAGACCAAAGACATCAGAGATCACTGTTTAAATAAGTGATTTAAGGAGATCAAGCTATTATACACATCCAACTCAGAATAGTTTAGAAGAACAAAACATAAGAATTGAAAAGAAAAGGTAAAGACAAGAAGCCTGGTAGGTAAAAGAAAAGTTATCACCTGAATAAAATATTTTCAAAAGCAAGGTTCTTGAATGAAGCAATGGAAAGGCAAACTATATCCCAATTTAGACAAATTGTTTGAGGAGAAAAAATAATGAAGTAGAAAACATGAGGCTGCTTAAATGTTTTACATTTCTATTCCAAGACAAAGTTTCAAAATTACTAAATATTAAGGCTACATTCTGAGATCAATCTACCTATCTATCCAAGGTAGTACCATCCACCTTATGTGAATTTTAACTGGACTTTCTTTGAAAAATATAATATTAGACAGTCAAACATCTTCCTTGAGTCAGCACACATTATGCAGGCTGCTTCTCCACAACAGGGGCTACACCCAGAGTGGTGCCATTACCTGTTTACAGAATATGTCTTACAAATATTCTGCAAGCCTGGCTGAGTTTTTCTTTGTGAAATAAAAGAAAAATAAATAAATAAAGTATAATAAAGAATTAAAAACAAATGTAGGAACACAACCACAGTGCAAGAAGCTCTTTTTGAAGCAGCTCAGATAATAAAAGTTTTTTTAAAAAAAGGAAAAAGGAGGAGGGAACCCTGCATTTTTAAATAGAGAAACTTTGTATTTACATGTGTAAATTTTGGGGATGCAAACCCATAAAAACATTTTAAAACTTAAATTCAGAGAACTCATAAGAGATTCATACAACAAGGTTACATGTTTCACTTGTTCCAATTATTCATTTTTGGAAAAGCTTTTACACGGAAAACATAAACAGGTTTTGCTCCAGTCTCTGAGAAATATTTTGGTATTATTTCCCAAGAAGACTTGTGCAAATGCAGTTTGAAAATGAAATTTTTCCCAGAAGTGGCAGTGGCTGACAAAAATTCTTCCCAAATAAATATGAGCTAGCACAAAATTGCACTGCAGGTTGCAGTATTCAGTTGGAATAGAGTTCATTTCCAACCCTTAACATTTAGTGATTCTGTTCTAGAAATGAAACACCATTAAAAGGTCCTTAAAATCTAGTGGTTTATTTCCTCTTATAAACCTTTTCCAACTCACAGTTTAGTTAAGAAAATAAAAAGACAAAGCCAACAAGGGGTAGGCTTCTATTTTAGAAATGAAGGACAGTGTTTTTCCTCTGAATAGCATCAAGTAAGTGTGTAGAACAGCCCCATTCCCATTTCTACTGGATCAGAGAGAATGTACTATGAATAAACTATGCCAGGTCACTTAATGGGATAAAGCATCTGTCGCTAATCCAAGTCTGCCAACTTCTAGTCATTAAAAGATTCTCACAGTTAAAATGTAACAAAGCTGAATAGGACATTTTGCTACACAACAGAAAATGGAACAATTCTGAATTAATGTTCATGACATAAAACTCAAGAAAACATTCTAAGAACAGGGGGTATGTTAATTTTGTTGAGAGTCCCAACGCTAAGATTTTATTCTTTTCTCGTCTTGGTGTTTATTTTTAAAACAGGCAATCATACTATGGATAGAGTTTCACTGTGCAGCAGTAACCTGTATGACTGAATTAATGATTTCTTTCTGAAAAGCACAAGCCATAAGTACAGCAGAAGTTACAGAGAGGTACTACGGAGCTATGAACAAGCAACAAGGAGTCAACAGTTGCATTCAATGAATACTGTTTGTAAATGTACAACATTGTTTTTGTTGGCTTTTCTTTTCACTAGAGCTTTATCTTTCACTACAATAATACACATTTTAAATACAAAGCCAAACCATCACCTCTTTCAGTGTAAACTCTGAATGGGGATGGCAATCAAATGTTCTTCTTACCTCATTTTGGAGGTCACGGATCATTTTGCTCTTCCTTTCCATTTCAGTCTTCAAAAAGTTAATCTACAAGTTTAAAGAAATGTTGAGAACAAGCTGTTAAAATGTACCTGAACATCAATTTAATCATTATTTTTTTCTCTACTCACAGCTTTGAATAAAAAAAATAAAAAAAAGAAACCACACTTGTGCTTACATACTGAATTGATACAGGCCACAGTTAAGTATTTACTAAATCTACAAACATTTAGAATTGTGTTACAGAAAACATACAATCAAAAGAAGAAAACTGCTGCATATAAATAGATTTACTTTACTTATGCACCAGTAGATATAGTGTTTAGTTTTCACTATGAAGTCCCATGTGGTCTTCAGAGGACTAAGGATTTTTACAACAGTATTAACTGATTTTATGATTTATTTTTTTTAACCCTCTAGGAACACAACCTCTATCATACCAGATTTCTAACACAGTTATTTCATTTGAATGCTACAGTCTTGCCCTTAATGAGATAAACCCCTCAATTCTGAACAGATTCATCTATGAAATAAAGTGAAGCATTCAAATCCAATCTTTAGCTCCTACTTCATTCAGTGACTTGCCTTGGAAAGCAGATATTCCAATCTCAGTTTTAAGACTGAATCTAATCACACACAGGTTAAAAGCTTGTTTTCACAAATGAGTCTGAGTGTCTTTCAGGACTGAGATTTCTTCCTGGCTTATGGAGCACAATGGGAAAAAGGAGGACATAATTATAATAACCAGGATTAGAAGAACACATTTTCACTTTGAAGGAGGATGCACTTAAATATCGTAATTAGCAAAATCCTCATCCCTACATACATCCAATGCCCCACGCTGCTTTCTCTCTTGCATTGATACAAAAGCCTATAGGTCTTCTCACTCTGCAGCAGACTTGTTAAGGAAAACAAAACCTCTCTAAGAAAACAGATTTACATAATAGAGACACTGACCTAGAGATTAATGTTTTGGATGTCACACAGATAAAAAATTACAGTGAATCTGCATGATGTGACAGCTGTTAGAATCATGTCCACACTCAAGTAGACAGATGTCAGTAATTTAAAAACCATCACTGGACTTGACATCACTCTTATCTGTATCAAAAGAGCAATCAGAGAATGCTACCTTCACTTAAGGGAGAAACGTAGGTAGGGGGCCCCTGAGATCAGGGCCAGCTGACACACATACAGGGAGTTTCTTTTGCAAATTCTACCAAAGTTTTGTCCAAGTGGCTTGGTTGTAGAAACACTAACTACAGATCCAGTTAACACTAAGGGTGACGTATTAACAGAAGATGTGTATTTGGTACTTGCCCAGCAATCAAACCCACAAATAGTGACATTTAGTCTGTGTATATCGTGCAGTAAGTATGAAGTTTTGCACAACCATAAATAAAGGTTACAATCCAAATATGGAAACAGGGAAGAAAAATAGAATAACTATCAATATGGTGGGTTTTGTTTTTTCAGCTGCTCAAAAGATTTGCTAGCTACTGTTAAATACAGACAAAAGTAACACATTGGTCTCCATTAAAGACTGTTCCCTTTCTTAGTCCTAACTCTCAAGAGAACATTAATATTCCTTTCTAAGCACTTCACTTCTAAATATCAATGTGTATAGAACAATGGAAGGGTCTATGATACCAAAAGTATTGTCTGTGTCCCCTCTATACACAACCTGTGAGTATCAGCTGTGATCTTCTAGTGGAGAGATATTTAAGGCATCACAGTACTATTAATTTAACCAGCAACCTACTACTATTCACATACACCTGCATCTGATATCACTGGGGTGGACATCTTAAATAGTGCAAGCTTCTGGTTTAACTTATATGGATAATTTGGAAATGTAAAAGTCCCTTTCTTTTCTAAAATGCTATTAATAAAAAATAACATTGATCTTCATTTAAAAGTAATTCATTTTTTATTTCATATGTTAAAACTCTTCTACTAAATCTCAAACAGCTGAAAAGTCACTTAGTCATAGCGTATAGCAATAGAGAGCTAGAGAGGAGGGATTTGTATGGCTTGGCTACTGAAGCTAATATAGAAATAACTCCATCTATCTAAGTGCATCTATGTCTATAATTTCATGCTTTAAGGCAGATCCACCTGTAATGGACCATTTTCCAAAAGAGATGTAAAATTTTTACTTTCAGTCAATAAACATTATTGACCAAAATATTTTTTCAATAAACAAGAATGGAAATTTATGTCCAGCTCCAAATTAAAAGGCACAGAAACTGAAAAATTAAAACTAAGAAACTTTCTAGATCTCTTCCTGCTTTCTTCCCACTTTTTGTCCTTGTTTGACATTCACCTCTTCCCAAATGTTGGCTGCCTTTAATGACTATGCAGCTGTAATGATGAAATACATAATGAAAATATATTGGTGTTCTAATACTGAACTTTGCAATATTAAGCAAGGACACTGCTTCTGTCTCCTGGAGACACACATCCAAGGTACTCAGAGCTTTGTGTGCTTCAGAGCTCATTACGTTTATTAAAGGCAACAGCTTCCATCCAGTGGCCTTTACTCACAGCAGTTTGTGACCTTGAAATGTTCAAATTACATTCTCCCCCATTGAAATACCGAATGCTTTGGCAGATGGCAGTGATCTAATCCTACGAGTCAGACAATAGTTAGTTATTCACTACGGATGAAGGACAGAAAAATACCAACATAGCATCACTACCACACAGCCAAAGCTCAGCTATGTCCTTATTTGCTTACCTCCAGACTTCTTGTATCTTGCTCAGGACTGAGACATGAGCAATTAATATGAGATTGGAACACATTAGCACCTAACTATTTTGCAATATCTGGAAACCCTAACATAGTCAGAATGCATTTTCATGGTCTAATTTTCAAGTTACAGTCTGTTCTGGTTTGGTGGTTTTTTTGGTAGCAGGGGAAGGGCCCCAGGAGTGGCTCCGATAAGAAGATGAGAAGCTCTCCCTGCTCCAAAACTGGCCAAGGAGCCATTAGAGGGACAATAGATGCACCTCTGTCATTAACATACAAAACAACTGAGATAACACCTGAGCAGGAAAGCACTTGGTGGGGAGAAGAGTTGTGCTGGGAAAAGAGAGAAGTGCTGGTGGTTGGTGAGGAAGAAGGGGAAGAAGGTGCCCTTGCAGAAGTTTCCCTGCAACCCATGCCAAGATGGCAGCTGTTCCCCTGCACTCATGGAGGAACGTGGTGGAACATTCCCTGAAGGTGCCAGGAGGGGTGAACTTGGCCTCTGGACTTGAATTTTGTGGCCAGTGGATTTGCTGCCTATGGACTCTGATTATGCAGCTTTGGAAGACCCCGGTGCCAGGGGAGTTTGTTCCCAAAGCAGCCCGTGATTCTGTGAGAAGCCCAGGCTGGAGCAACTCTGGACCTCGTGGGAAGGACTCATGAAGGTGAGGTTCATGGAAGACTCTCTCCCATGGGAGGGACCCCGTGGGGAAGCAGAGAAGGACTGTAAGGAATCCTTCCTCCTGGGGAGGATGGTGTGGCAGGAACCACCAGCCTGTGAACTGACTCTAAACCCCATCCCCATCCCCTTGTGCTGCTGGAGGGAAGGAGGGAGAGAAAAAAAGAACAAAGTGATTTGGGCCCTGGAAGAAGGGAGGGGTGGGGTAACACATGCAACCTCTGCTCTTTGTGTTGTCTGTGTCCTGTGTGTGTTTGATTAGTGTGGAATTAAACTATTATTTTTTCACCTAAGTTGAATCTGTTTTTCCCAGGACCTTAATTGGTGAAGAACCCTCCTTGTCCTTTGCCTCAACCCACGAGCTTTGTCCTCCTCATCCCAGAGTGTGTGTGTCGGGGGGGGAGGAGTTGAGTGAGCAGCCATGGGACTGCTCCCTTGTTGTCATGTAGTCCCATAAACCATGACGTTAATGATGAGCCAGGCAGGAGAGAGACAAGGAAACAACGACACAGTCTAGGAAGTGACTCCCAAAGTCAGAGAGGACTGGTTAGGCTATTACCTAAAACATAGGAAATATTCTTTCATTTGGGAAAAAAAAAAAAAAGGGTTTTAAAAGTGTTAAATACTTTGAAAAGCTAAGCTAAATCTACTTTTACCTACTAAGACTTAGATTAATGTAATTTTTAAGCTGTAAATTATATGTTAATTAATAATATATTTTTATTCAAGAGACATTTAGGAATCTAGGACCTATCATAAGGGCTGTTACTAAATAAAATAAATATTTTCTGAAGTGAAATGAATTCCTGGCATTTTATTAAATATATTGCAGGCATGAGATTGTGATGGTTTTTAAGATTCTTGATCAGCAGTGGATCTTTCTATCAGTTAAATTCCCCAGATTCTGTAAGTCTTCTATTATAAAGAAAAACTCTACTGATTTCAAAATAACCCTACTGTTTCTTTTTAAAATTCAGTCAGTGTGTGTTACTTAACTCTCACTTTTCATAGTGAAAACTTAGCAATTGGGAAAAATAGATTTTCTCCTTTATTTTGACAGACTATACCATAATTGTACTGTCAAACATTTCCATTACTATGCCTTTTTAAAAAAAAGTTAGCATAATATAAAATACCAACAGGAACAAAAATTAAAAGGCAAAGTGTTAAATACTTTGAAAAGCTAAGCTAAATCTACTTTTACCTACTAAGACTTAGATTAATGTAATTTTTAAGCTGTAAATTATATGTTAATTAATAATATATTTTTATTCAAGAGACATTTAGGAATCTAGGACCTATCATAAGGGCTGTTACTAAATAAAATAAATATTTTCTGAAGTGAAATGAATTCCTGGCATTTTATTAAATATATTGCAGGCATGAGATTGTGATGGTTTTTAAGATTCTTGATCAGCAGTGGATCTTTCTATCAGTTAAATTCCCCAGATTCTGTAAGTCTTCTATTATAAAGAAAAACTCTACTGATTTCAAAATAACCCTACTGTTTCTTTTTAAAATTCAGTCAGTGTGTGTTACTTAACTCTCACTTTTCATAGTGAAAACTTAGCAATTGGGAAAAATAGATTTTCTCCTTTATTTTGACAGACTATACCATAATTGTACTGTCAAACATTTCCATTACTATGCCTTTTTAAAAAAAAGTTAGCATAATATAAAATACCAACAGGAACAAAAATTAAAAGGCAGACTAAGCTTACTCTAAATAGCAAAGTATTTTTTAGCATTTGTCTGTTTCCTTCTTTATTTTCTTCCTCATCAAAGCTATTCAGCTCTATACACTTTAATTGCAGTTAATAGGAAACAACTATGCAAACCTCAAAGTCATTTCCTAAAATAATAATTATTTCTTAAGATACAAGCAGCTGGCATGAAGTACAGAGAAGTGAAGAGCCCTCCTCCAAAAAGCTCTAAGAGCCTGTTAACCTAATGCAGAAACACAGAATCACTATTTACCCTATTTATTCATATTCACTGGAAAAAACTACAAACCCACCACTTCCACGCGTTATTTGCCCTTTGCCTCTTCAGCAACAAAAGCGAAAATCAGTTCATGGTCCTTAATCCTGTTTCTGGAAGAAGTGGTTCCACTTTACTTTTTGAGACAGAGCTTGACATTATTAATCCTTTTTTTTTTTTTCCCTCTACATAGCAAGCTGTTATAAATTGTTTAGCTTTTTCATATTAAATGCAGAACAAAAAGTTTTGTCAGCCTTTATCAATTGTTAAAGAGAGCAGCAGGTTATTTGGCAGTCTGTCTCACACATTTTATATACACTAAAACCACTGTGGTGCTTCTGAAAATCAAGATTTATCCAAATAAGAAATGCTTTTGATACACAAATAAGCCACAGTTATAGTGTGAGATGATCTGTAGAGAAGGTCTGTCTCATCCCAAGGCTTTCTGGAAGACTTTGTTTGACCTTGAACTTTGTAACATAAGACTACTCAAACATGTAAACCTTCCTCATCATAACAAGTATTCCTCTGCACATTTTATTTTCCTGGGTAGAGCAGCTGAAACAAGAGGCACAAAGTTATTCGTGGTTTGCCATGTAGTTTCTAGATAAGACCTGTCCCAAATCAGGCTGCTGCTGTTCTTCATAATTTAGTACTACAGCTGCAGAAGAAGGACTCAGAAAGGGACTGCCCAGTCCTGTAAGGGCCCCCAGGTCAGTCCTCAGTATGACGAGTCCTGTAAAGGACAGGAATGTCTTTATACCTCCTTTTTGTTTCCTCAAGCCTGAGTTGCTGCTTCTACTCTCAGAAAGTTGTTCCTGCACAGCAGCAGCTCCACTGCTGCTCTCTGTACCCACCAATAATTCAGCAGATCCTCAGAATGGCAGTTTTTTAACTGCCTATCATTCTTGGTTTCTTAAGTCTTAAAGGGCCCCCAAAATGGATACATATGCACAATAGCATTGATAGCGCTGTTTCTGATTAATCATTTGTGCAACTGGTAGCAAGGAGTCTTGAACAAGAGCTGGGTTCTCTGGCTTTTGTCAGAGTCCTTGAATAATTTCCAGGTTATTTTTCATGTAATTTGACTTCATTCTTGTAAACACTTACTTACACTTTTGCATTTACTTAATAAAGAACACCTTCAGGCAGGTGTTCCCTGTTGGATATATACAGCCAATTAACACACAAAAAACACTGTACTGTGCCTCCTTAGCAAGTGCAGAAAAAAAAAGAGATGTATTTCCAGTGCCCTCCAGTGCTTTATTCATGTGGCTTTGAGAAAGTTAATTTTTTTCTTATTTACTTTGATGAAAATCAAGACTTACTTCACCAAATCCTGTAGCATAAAATGTGCTTAAATTGGATTAGAAACAAGGCTCACAATTCATTAAATTAGAATTAAATTCAAGCTCCCATTGTCTGGCTGGGCTTGCTTCAAAGTACCTAGACCTTTTTTAATAACAGTTATATTGTTTTCAGAAAAGCATGAAACACAGGGAAAAAACAGGTGTAAAGTAACCTGTGTGACAGTTATATTTATTTCCATTTCTATTGCAGCTTTCATCTGAGGATCCTGAAGTAATTTTTGAATACTCATTCAGTCTCACTGTATTTGTGAGCTCCACCATGTACATTGTACCTTGAGGCATAAAGAAATTAATGTCTCGTTCCTTAAAATCACTGGCAAATTTCATATTCTATTATTGGCAAGTTTTAGAATATAGCTCAAAAATTCAGTTGCTCTTCCCAGCTGACCACACTCCAAGCCAAGTTATGTTATGACCTCAGAGGGGTTTTCCTGATTTTGCACTAGGTAATATTTTTGCTTTCAGTTAACAGTAGATTTTGTTTGACTTGTGTAGACAAAATATTGTGCTTATCCCCAGTGCTACAGTGTGGACACAAGGCACTGCTGCTCAAGTTTAAAAGAAGTTCTATACCACAGAGAACAATAGAGTCAATAATCCATTCACTACATCTCAGATTTATTTAATTCACAGTTGAATTAGTCTTGAATATAAAAATCTAATATAGAAATTAAATAACAGAATACGTTTTCCACCTTTTAATTTGTAGGACTAGAATCCACTGCGCTGATAGAGCTACTGGGAATGTATCTGTGCACCTGAAAACAGACAATTTTCAACCAGGATGAGTACTTAGCAGAGAAAAACTAGATTCTTGTTTTTTCTTATTTCAGGGCTACGTGTCTTCTTTTTTTTCCTGGATATATGCTGCCCTGGCTATTGAGAAAGACCCCCAAAATACATTATTCTTTTTATGCTCAACACAGCAGTTAGTTTACTACTTCTCTCCCCTCAAGAACAAAAGAAGGCTTTTGTTCTCTAGACAAAATTGCAAGTACCAAAAATCCACTAAGTATGATCTGTGGGGAACACAGGAATAGGTAAAATGGTGTCTTTACCCTTCAGATTTCTTAGCAACAAAGGGGAAAAGAGTGTTTTCAGAAAACATGTTAATTGAAAGACGCCTATAAAGGAGTGTTTTAGTTCAAAGTCTACACTGTTGCTGATTAGCAGGTAGCCTGTAAAAAATGCACTCATGTCTTGTTCACCAAGAGCAAAAAGACACTTACAAATCACGCTCATACAAAACAAGGCATTAGTAAACATTTCCTAAATGTAGTATTTATTTTTAAAACTCTGTTTTGGAAGAACTCTTGTTTAGTGAGCCTGGAAGGCAGTAAAATATTAATAAATAAACCAGTAATTATCTAGTAGATCTATAAACTCCTTCTAGCAGCTTAATTTCAATTTCAGAGTTAGAATCACAGAACAGCAGAGGTTTGAAGGAACCTCTGGAGATTATCTAGACAGCTTATGCTCAGTGGTGTTCCTATTATAGGAATACTAACATAAGAAAAATTGCCTTTTTGCATCTTAGATTGAAACAGAAAACATTATTCTACTTTTTTTTTTTTTTTTTTTCCTGCAATAGCAAAATATGGCTATTTGAGCTACACAGCATCACAGTGCTACATAAAATCCAACTAATTGTACAATTTACTCAGAAATAGAATTTAACTAAAGCATGATTTGGGACTTAATACCTTCCTACAGTAATGATTAAATCTACTATGTCTAAAACCAGGCACTCTATTATCTATTTGGTTGCTGAAAACCAGTAGTGATTCCAAAAAAGTCAATGGATGTATGGCAGTGTAAATTAGTATAAATGAGACAGGAGGGTTCATAGATATAACCTCATCAGAGAAAGGCCTTAGGCCCAATTCTGCAGGCCCAGATCTCCAAAAATGTATACACATCCCTAAATCCCATGGGAATCAGGGAAGACAGGGATCTTGGTGCTTTTGAACATACACCTTTTTTCAGCTCTTTTCTTCTGCACGCTGTAGAGTACTAACACTTACTTGAAATGTATGTTTTTTATGTGCAAAGTTATTTGAGCTAATGACAAATTCTCAAGGCAGGAGGATTAAAAAAAAAGACAGAATAAAAACCCAAAAATAATGAAAGAAGGACAGAGAATCACTCACCGTAGCCTGCTGCTTTTCTGCTTTCTCAGTTGCCTCATTAAGCTGCTTTTGAAAGGCCTCCTGAAGAGATTTCATTTCTTCCCTAGTTTATTGAAAACACAGAACACAAAGCTCATCACCAGTGTCCATTAAGAACTAATTCTTCAGCTTCAACAAAAAGCACCTTTAATTATCCAGAGTAACAGACAGATGTACATATATGTGACTTGCTAATAAAGTTACAATGATCGCATAAGCTATAGTGCCAAATACAGAGACAAAAATTATGATGGGAATTGGCCACCTTTAGCATCTACTGAGTAGCTTGCTGTGCAAAACATCTGCCAGTCTATAATTTCTAGCAAAAAGGATTGGCACTGAAGAAGTGAGGCTACTGAACAATGCACCAAAATATTATCAATAAAACTAGTTTACACCTAGTTATAAATAAATAAATAAAGCTCTAGTAAAATTTAGCCTTCACCTGTTCTTTCCTAGAGACAAATGACACAAAATTCAGTAGAAGATTCTGGCATGCACACAGGAACCAAACCAAACCAACAAAACCATAACAACCAACCAAGCAAGCAAACAAGAATATAATTGCTTGGATTTGTCTTTATTTTAATAAGAAAACCCTTTTTGTTACTGATGCAGTCAAGAGAATTTCTCCACATTGCAAGAATTGCACTGGCTCTACTGGCCATCTATTTCTACCCACAGCACATGACACACCTTGGAGCTGTGGCAAATTAGAAGAGTGACATATTTCAGAACATCTGCAGAGTTTTCCTTCTTCAGGGCTGTTCCTTGTGCACAGATAACAGAAGACCAACACAGAACTGGGTTTAAACACAGATAATAACTCAGCCAAGTGAAAGCTAAGCTGGAATGAATACCATCTAGTTCACACAGTAATAGGACTTGTGAGCTGCTGGCTCATATTTCTTGTTAGCCAGTAACTCTACTACTTTAAGCAATTCCAGCAATCCTAATAAAGAACAGATTGAATTGAAATAGTGAGTGAGCAGCATGGAACCAACGCAGCATCAGCACAACACGGCTCCCTTAGTGCATCACCAGACGCGATCATTTCAAAGTGCTGATGGTGCACAGAAAGAACAAAACTTGAGGCATCATGAGTGACCAAGTTTTACTTGCAACTTGGACAGTACTGAAGAATTCACACAACAGGGATTAAAAAAGAAACAGCAAAATCTAATTTGAAGTCAGCAGAACTACATCTGCTTACACAAGTTGAGATTCTAGCATTCTAAGCTTCACTGTATCATCCATCGTTGCTGAAAATAATCAAAGCGGTGCCCACAGACCAAATACAGCTCATGTTTGTCTAAAGAAAGTGGGTCATAAGATTAACATTGGGGTATGAATTGTGGTTCAAATGCAGTAGATTTAACCATAACAGGTTCATAACAGCATAACATAACTGTTCTTTACTTACTCCAGATGAAATACTGCCTATTGACTAACAAACGGTGACCCTTCTTTAGGGAAATCCTATGAGGGGAATTCAGTCCTTGGCACATTTTTAACACCTGCTGCTACATTGAAGTTCCACATCTATCTGGAAGTAAAATCCAGTAAGCTTGTAAACAGGTGTCAGGTACCCACAGCGGCTCCAAGGAATTTTCTTGGAGTATATTGTAAAAAACATTTGTTTTCTGAAGGAGGGTGGGGGCTGCTCAGCAGGCTTTTGCATCATTGCATGATCCAGGACCTATGGCTGGGAAATGCTGTTGTGCAGTACACTCAATAGCTCAATCTCTCAGATGCAAAACCCAACATGTACTTTTGGGTGGACCTTGGAAGACTTGAAGAGGTGATTTAAGGAGAAGATTAGGAAGAATACTTCTAGTATGTAGTAAAATTTTCCCTTAGCTGACTCAATTTTCTCATCTGCAACTAAGACTTATTTACTAAATAGTTCAAACATACATTTAATGAATTAATCTAGTTCATAAAAGCTACACAACAACCAAACCACTACAAAAACATGTTAATGTATGAAAGATGGAGTTCGTGATCAGGGCAGCTATGATGCTGAGATGTGTATCTTCACTTGCAGTCAAGCCACACAGGTGTTCAAATAGGACTTCAGTTAAAGTCTTGTTTTCATCATTTAATAGATATATCTTTAATACCTGAAAGATCTTAATGTATCTGATTCTTCACTATCATAGTAAAAATGACAACTTCTATAGGCATTCTATCATGGATCTTCTTTTTTGTGTATTGAAGAGCTAAAGGGAATTTTATCATGAGCCTTCTCTATAGCAATACAATTTTCTAAAGAAAAACATGAAGTCAGGAATTATTTGCCCTTAGCAAAGCCATGTTGGTTGTCACCAGTTACATCTTTATTCCCTACGTACCTGAGAAGATTTTTCAGGAAGATCTTTTCCGTGATCTTGCGGGGCACAGAGGTAAGATACTTCACTAATTTAATTAACTTGGAATCACCATCCACTAGTAATTTTCTAAAACTTCTGATCTTATACTTTTTTAGACAAAATTTTGTGACTAGACCTTACTGAGAAATTCAGAATCCTCTTCTTTAGCAGATGTCTCACTATATCATTTCAATATCTTTCCTTGACTCATGTCCAATATCAACAAAAACACCATTTGTTTCAAAAACTTCCCCCCAAAAAAAGCATTCCCTGCTCTTATTTTACTGTTAAAAGCAGCAGAGTCTGGAATACAGTAGTCTTCATAGATTAAGGTAAAAGGAAAGATTTAATTTCCTAGTCTGACAGATTTCAGTCTGGAAATAGAAAGGGAAGGGGAGGAGAGACGGGTCTTACCTTTGCTTTTGGCCCAGTTCCAGAAGTTTCTGCACATCATTTTTGGCTGATGCTTCACCATTTTTCAAAGACTGATAGCAAAGGAAGAAATCTGTTACCACAGAGATCTTTTATCATTTTACAGATGAATAACATTAATATGGCCTTCTTTCTTAAAACACTCCTGGTGAATTACTGATATTACCACTTGCGAGAAGCGGAGGCAGAACCTGACTTCTCTTTTACCATAATTCAGCCCAGCTAACTGTACACAGCTCTTCTTCAAATATTAAATTAGGGCTGTTTTAATAAGTAGATTTAGAAACAAACAAATCACTAAAAACATTAGGAGTGTATGACAAAGATAAGTGTGTATATGCAGAAGGTAATGCTACAGCTCTGCCTATATCTGCAATGTTGAGTGTAAAATGCTTCAGAGCATAATTTTGCTGAGCTCTACCTTCAACTGTGCTGCACAAGAAATCCCATTCTAAAGTAACTTCATTACAAGGAGAAGGACATTTCTCTAAAAGGTAAGAAGTAAATCCCTACAAAGAGTGCTAAAGCACTCAAAAAAAAAAATAAAGAGTCAAGAGTTTACATTAATTAGAACAAGTCTGGAATAAAAGACCATATAACATAATAATAAAACAACAGACTCTACCAATATTCTGTGGACAGATATAGGAGTCCTACTCTTTATACTATGCTCATCTAACTTACATCAACAGAAAGACAAAAATGTAATGTCAGAAACATATTGTCCTTTAGAATGGCATGAAATACAGACACAAATCTCAATTGATGAGTCTGAATGTTTTCACCAGACCAACAGACTATGTCTGGAAAAGACAGGCATGCTCTTAAGCGAATACCTTGTGATTTCAGGACCTCAAGTCCAGAGCAGGTTTTTTAACCTACCTTGCACTCACAGGAGCTGAATTAACTCCTAATAACCTGACTATTGCCTTTTTAGTCTACCCAAATCCTCCCAAGTTAAATGCAGAGGTGTCTCAGCTCTAGCTGCCAGATCATCCAGCCCAACTGGTCAGCTAAATTTGTAGAGTAATGACCTGCAGTAAATCCTGTCAGAACTTGTAGATGGCATGTGAGGTAGGTAAAGTCAGCAGTTAAACTGATGTCAACATGCAACAGCAAAGGAAATCCTTAGTAGGACAAATGTGGAGTAACTCCAGTAAGGCAGCTTGTTATTTTTCCATTCCTCATTAGGATGTTTTCCATAAAAACATTAGTTTAAAAAAAAATATAAAAAAAATCACATACTGGAAAAACAAACAAAAACCACAACAAAACACAACATGTTTGGGTTTTTTTAGTAATAAATAGACACCAGTATGAAAAAACAGAAACCAAGACAGAGCCTAACCTGGAGGTTCACTTTGATTCCCTCAAGTTCTTTAGAAGTCTTCGACAGTTGACGAAGGATATTGGTCCTTTCCTTAAATACTTCTTTCAGCTGCCTTTCCAGTTCTTCATAGCCCTGTCTAGCACAGAAAATAAAAGTGTGAGGTTTTCCCAAAACATTACTCAATGCATTTGGGAACAGTCTTAGTTCATCCAAATTGTATAATCTCCAACACCTGTAAGAACAACTTCATTTCTCCTAACCTAGATAAATGGGTGCTTTTTATGTCAAAGTTATGTGCTGCATCTGAGTATACAAATTATTAGACTGAAACACAGCAAATGTTGTATTGCCTGTGATGAACAGGAGACAAAAGAGTAATAGTATATGTATGAGATTCTTCTTGTTTTAAAAGATATTCCATGCAAGAAACCAAGAAAAATTTTGAAAGTATGAAATTTTGTGACACTTAGTAATTTGAGGGAAGGATAATTCAGATCTATTTTAACTTTGTAAAATCTATTACATTCCAGTTACTCTTCACTTAAACCTTCTTTATAGTATAAACTATTATTAATTGTTATTACTATAACTACTGTTATTAATAGATAAATCAAAATATTCTATCCTTTTCAAAATGGGAATTTTTATTTGGAATATGACTATACTTTTAAAAGTTTTTAGAAAATTCACAGTGAAAATAAATCAAATGCATATTATTTTAGGTTGAATGTAATACAGATCCAACTCTTGTATCCCACTTCAGAAAAAAGCAAACACTGCAGTTAATTAGAAACCAACATGTTTTTTCATTTAAAATTGTCATTTTGAGGAAGACTGATCAGTGAATTGAAACATCCATTCCTTCAACAACTTATTTTAAATATAATCTTTTTTTTTTTCCTCCTTGCTGTATTTCTGATCCTAAGAAGGGGAGAAAAAGAACCTCAGCTCTGCAACATATCATCTCTATTTTACAATCAGATCCAAGACCCTGAAGTTAAACAGGAATCTGAATACTCTTAATGGATTTTTAATACACACTTCAGCAAGAAAACTCAGAAAAGAATTAACTATGCTATCTAATATCAGTTCTTTCTATTTTAGCAATATACAGCTCAAGAAATGTGATAGGTTTATGAAAAAAGAAAATTATTCTGTATTAAATAATACTTTGAATACCTAGAAGAGTTTGAAGTGATTAAAAAGTCTCTTTCATCAACACAAGACTTTAGGCAAAGAATCTTAACAACATATTGAAGTTTCAGCAGTAATTACTTTCAGCTTTGTAAGCATGTTGTAAATGAAAATGCATAGAGTTCTTTGAAACACAAAACATCTCCAACTTCTGCCTGCTGATGCAGAACAAGAACTTAGGTGTTTTGGTCCACAATGTAGCACCCAAGACTTTCAGAAGATCTTTGGCACAATTGCTAGGTCAACAGTTTCGTTTTACAGTAGTTCTCTTTCAGAGGAAAGTTAAAAGGAAAAGAGGAGATCTCCACCCCCAATACTCAAAAATGTTCATTTTCATTTTTACAGGATGGTAAAATAAAAATCACCATCCTTCTAATACATTCTGTAGCTGGATAATTTTGCTTTTTCTTTCAATATTATTTCAAGAAACTGTGGTTTCAGACAATCTTGATTATGTTCGCCCACCAGAGGAAAGGAAAAACTACAGATCTAACTGGGGAACAAGAAGTACCTCTGCGAAAAACTGTAAGAGGCATGGGATAAAGTCAGTGTAAGGAGATAATGACAGGACTCAGCTACAAGAACCTACTGGTAACTAAACAGCACTCATAAGTAATCTGGTTATCCTTGATAAGGGTAACTATTGTTATAAAAAATAAATTATCTCAAACACATGACATGTAGTCAAACCATTTACAGGAAAATCCATATGCCAAGACTTTTAATCTTCCAGAATTCAGCATCATTTACATGCAGAGTTTGGTTCACATTTTTCTATCCAATTGAATAAAAGAATCTGCTCTTACAGAAACTCAATCTAGCCAGTGCTAGAATACCTGATAAACATTATCATTCTGATTGTAACTTGACATGGAAATAAAGTCCCCCACATTAAGTTTCATATGGAAACACCTCTAGTTTGTTTGTCACCACTCCAGCTTTGTGTGATTTTAAACCAAAAAGAAACTCAGTAAAGCATTAAATATACTACCTAATACCACTGTAAAAGAGCTGGCTCACCCAGCAGTAACAACATTATGTGTAATCAGCCTGAAAAGCTTCAGAGAATACTCCCATTTTAATTTGCTGATGAACAGAGGTCAAGGAGGAATAAGGTAATCCAGGTAGTTTCAATAAGGTCATCCCTTTCATTCCTCCTTAAGCATCACATAAAGTGCATTAGGCTTGATGGTCTCTTTTGCCACTGAAAAGTCATGCTTTTGTTTAAAGTTAAGCTCTGCATTAAAAAAAAATTAAAATTATCTGCAAGTGGTAACACTCTCTTAATGATCACTTTAAAGCAACAGCCCCCTCCAATTCCAGTTTAGCTGGAGGATTTAAAGGCCATCTGTCCCCAGCAGGCAATCAATTATACTGCCTCATGTGTATTCAGTTGGTGCAGGTTTCACTCTTTCAACCTGTAAATACAGATACTTACCAATTTGCATAAGCATCTCCCCAGTTAAAATTAAATTGAATATGAAATACTTGTATTTACCTTTATGTTATATTTTATGCCACACTGGACAGGTACCAGGAGACAAAAAGCCATCAAACTTACCACAGAGAGTCACAAAACAAGCTAAACCTTCAGAATTGTTAGAGATGGTTTAAAAATATAAAGAAGGATGAAAAGAAAAAACGTAGCTGTCAGGTCTTTTAACTACTAGATTTTCAAAGGTTTTTTGATTCTAGACAATCTCCCTGATATCAAGGTTTGACTCGTAACATTGTGTCCAGCAACAGTGTCCCCATGTATTTGAAGACAAAAATTCAACTCTGCCCATGTGTGACAGCAAACAAACTCTCAGCCCAGCCCATCTCTTTTGGTGAACTTGTGACTTTTAGACCAAAAAAGTGCAATTCCAGTGAAAAAATGTAAATTTGTAAATTGTGAAATACTTTGATTATTCAAGAACTCCTGCATTCTTCCACAAAACTGAATATATTCTCACTTCTACACTTTTAAAATATTAACAGGATTCTCAGGATTAGGTTTAAGGAAAGAACCATGGTCAATTGGATTTTCTTATTCTTCCCTTCTCGAATTTCAAGCAGCCAAATTTTAATCACCCCCATATTGGATAAGCACTCTTTGGAACATTTCACATACATGTATGCAATAAAATTATAACTATGGATAGGCAGGCCATTCTAAAAGTAAATTCACTTCAGCATGCCTATATCCTGCAGCTCTGCTATTGTATGAAAATCAGTGGTTTTTTCTAAAGCTAGTATTAGATTAAAAAAAAATGTATTTCCACCACAACATAACAACATTTCTTACCTATTTGAAAACAGACGCATCTAAATATATACATATAATCACAAATACAGACATTTTCCCTGATGAACATCAGCAAACTCCTCTGAATTTGATTAACTAACAAGATAATTTGTCTAATTAAGAAAAAACTGCAAGATGTAAAGCAATTGGACCAGATAGCAATGAGACTTAATCAACATAATTCCTCTGAATTCAGAAGAGATTCAAACTGAAAGAACACCTCATCTACATCTGGGTATCTGAACAACACATATGGCTTTTAAAGAAGAATGGCATCATCCCTCACCATGTGGGTGAAAGTAAAAGAAGGATTTGCGGTAGGAAAAGAGGGAAATGTTAAGCTCAGTTAAAACTTCTGTGGGTGTGAAAGGAGAGTGGATTCTTGCAGCCAGAAGAATAAGCTCTAAACTGAAGAATTTATTAGTGTTGAGCTTGGATGTCAGTTTTGATGATTCTGGAAGAGGCTGACTCAGTGAATGTGACATGTCACCATCGTCCCATCCAGCCATCCCAGTAATTTCCTCAAATCTCAAAAATCCTCAGAAATTGTCAGGCTGCTCTTCTTATTTTGCAGTATAATTATAGGTGATAAAAATATGTTTAACCCATTCAGAGGAAACTCCCCTAAGTAATTACACACAGCTTAAATCTGTTCTCTGAATATTAGGTTACACCAATTACAACGTTCTGCAAAACGAAGTATCATTACCAAAATACCCACCTCCAATTAAAGTGAATATTTCTCAGTTTAGTACATGTGCTTTTTGAAGTGTTCATTCTGAAACAGAACAACTTAGCAATACCCTGCCTGTTAAGGTCACCTGTGGTACTCCCATTGCAAGTTGTTTCACTTTTACATCAGCCTGTTGATGTGGTGTCCTTGTAAATTCCAATACAATTTGCTTTCAGGAAATTATATTCACTTATAGTTTTAAGATTAGTCAGCTGTTTTGGCTCTTCTATTATTCTTACAGACATGATTTCATAGATTATATCAAACATTTCAACAGATTCTAATTTGCAGTATGCAACAGAGACAAATGCCTAGTAAATAGATTATCCACAACTGACCATTACTTCCTTAAACGTTAGAAATTGGGCTTTTAGTCTTCAAAATAAGGATTGAGTTTATTTCTCACTGGATTATATGTACTATGTCAGGACAAAGTAAAATTGATTTTGTTTTCCCACTAGGTTTATAAAGCCTGTCTTTGAAATTAAACTTTTATAAACTTTTCAATTATTTATGGTACATAAATGTCCCTGACTGAAAAAAAACCCACCACAAACAATTCTGAAAACAAAAGAAAAAACTGAAACACACCCTGCAGTTAAAGACAAACTTAGATACGTGTCTCTTTCAGCAAATTTGTTGTCAGTTAAATTCCTCAAGCCACTCTTTTTAAAAAAACTTTCCTGCTATAACTGCAATTAAAATCTTAGTACAAATCTTAATGTAAGTTCTAAGACAATTAGGTGAGCTGATGAGAAGGTCACAGCCCCAGGAGTTTGGCTGTTTTTTTTAAAGCAGTAATAGTTAAGAAAATAGTAGATTGTATTCCTCTTTGTGTATCATAAATAGCAAATACTGCTCAAAGAGTACACTTGCCAAGTGCATTATTTCCTTGGTGTTTCTAAAACAATCTTTTGAAGAT